GCCCAGTCAGCATTGCTGCCCCTGCAGCTCGCTGCAGAGCACCTTCAGCATCAACCCAGGTCAGTATTCCTGCTCTTACTGCAGCTCTTATTGCAGCTTTTAGTGCAGCTCTTATTGCAGCTTTTACTGCAACTTTTAGTGCATCAGCCCAGTCAGCATTGCTGCCCCTGCAGCTCCTGCAGAGCACCTTCAGCATCAACCCAGGTCAGTATTCCTGCTCTTACTGCAGCTTTTAGTGCAGATTTTACTGCAGCTTTCATTGCATCAGCCCAGGTCAGCATTCCTGCTTTTCCCGGGAATTCTGGGATAATTCCCACCCAGATCTGCCCCTGCAGCTCTTGCAGAGCAGCTGCAGCATCAACCCGGGTGAGTCAGCATTGCAGCTCTTACTGCAGCTTTTACTGCACCTTCAGCATCAGCTCAAGTGACTCAGGATTGCAGCTTTTATTGCAGCTTTTATTGCAGCTTTTATTGCAGCTTTTATTGCATCAGCCCAGGTCAGCATTGCAGCTTTTTCTGGGAATTCCAGGGAACATTCCCACCCGGATCCTGAGGGATTTGTGGGAGTTTGGCTGAGCTGTGCCTCTCAGTGTTCCTGGGGTTATCCCAACTCCTGGAATGTTTTTCTCTCTTCCCAGGCATTTTTTGGGATCCATTCCTGGATTCCTCCCTAATTTCTTGCCATTCTTCCCTCTTTCCCACAGATTTCAAGCCAAAATTCCCACAGAAATTCCATTTTTTTTTTCGCATTTTTCAGCACAATTTCCCATTTTTTTTCCTGGATTAATCCCAACCCCTGGAATTTTTTTTTTTTTCCCCCTTTTCCAGAGATTGAGTGTGACCCCCTGCGGGATTACAACATCTGGAGCTCCCTGCAGCCCATCAATGCCTCGGGGAAGGTGGATCCTGAGCAGAGGCTGATCCTGGCAGTGACACGGGTGAGATCCCTCAGAAATCCTGGGAAAATCATGGAAAAATCTTGGGAAAATCATGGGGAAAATCCCGGGGATAATCATGGAAAAATCCCAGAAAAATTCCTGGAAAAACGATAGAAGAACCCCCAGGAAAATCATGGGGAAATCTCTGAGGAAACCCCAAGAAAAATTATTGGAAAAATACCAGGGAAAAGTACTGGGAAAATCCTGAAAGAATCCTGGGAAAGTCTCTGGAAAAATCCTAGGAAAATCTCAGGAAAATGCCTGGAAAGATAATGGAAAAATCCCTGAAAAAATCATAGAAAAATCCCAGGGAAATAAAGGGGAAAATCCTGG